ATGGGGGTGGGTGGGGGCGAGATGTAAGGACGTGTGGAAACTCCTTAACTTTGCATACTATTGATATCATTAAAAACAAGGGCGTTCCAAGAGCCACTCAACTTTATGTAAGAGCAAAGCCAATTTAGCCACATCCCCCTCTCTCCATTGCTAGGTCTCAAGAGGTGATTGAGAGGTTTAATTACATGCTGAAATAGACATGGATTTGCTCCCAAAGCTGCCTCTTTCTGTGCACTCCATTCCATAAAATATGGAATTTGGCACTGTACATACTTCCTACACTGTCACCACTCCCACTGTTAACATAACACACCACAGTTTCAACACCACTTACTCCACTCCACTCATTTTGTTATACAAACAACTACGTCTTTCTAGCAGGTAGATTCTGAACTGAATCTGCCATCAGTTTACCACCTAACTATTCACACTGCTCATTGACAACAACCATGTTTAGCTCTAGCACTAGTCTGAAATATTCTCTTTTAACTGTTATGTAATTTTACATCACTGAACATGGACAGCAATAAACCTATTAAATAATTTCATTGATTTTTTATAACAAGAAAAATTCTGAAAGATCAAAATGTCACAAAAAGTTGCAAGCATAAGCATAGAGAAATGTAACTACACATTTCTAGAATGGTTCACAAACTCTTTCCACCCCCCCCCCCCCCCCCACAACTCTTTTCTAGACACAATAAAGTGGCTCATGTTGGAGACAAATTGCTATATGCTTAATAAACTAAACAAAAATGATCCTTTCCATTCTGACAGGAATTTTGAAAGGAACAAATGACGTATCGTATGTCTCCTGAACCCTGTCCGCAGGACGTATTCAACCTTGTCTCTACTTTAACAATCTGCTTCTGTGATGAGTGTAACTACCTATCTCGAGCGCAAAATCATCCACGAGTTTATTTTTTTATGGTAATCATGGTATTATCTTAGTTGCTATTTCCTTATTGAAGCAATAGACTCACAACACGATTTTTGCAACAGCTAACTTTATAACTAATGATCATCTCTGATTCAAAGGATCCACGGAGTGCGTCACTTCAGGTGCTATTTGCTTTCAAGCACTTTACACTTGAAATGCGTCATTGTGTTTGCTTTTGATACGATATGTGGAGCTGGAATGAAGATTGTAAAGAAAAGATTGTTTCTTTATACATCCTTGAATGCTACCATTATATTCAACAAAGAATCATGGATTGCAAATGCATTGCACTTCATGATAATTAAACTAATTTCTCCAAACAGGATGGCGAAGAATTGCTCTTCAAATATATAACAAATTGAGTTCCACTTTTTTGTAGAACAGAAACACAACCAAGATCTGAAACTTTCACTGGAATCAAATATTGACCTGTTTCATGGGCTATAAAAAATGTTCCGTGAAATTTTTTTCTGTGACAATTTTTTTTGTGCCATGGTATAACGATTCATATTCAAAACATAAATAATGCCTCAAAACACAAATCAGCAACTACATTTTCAACAGTTTTTTGACAAAATTCATTAGCTAATAAGCAGATATTATATAAATATAATGTTTGAATAGTGAAAGTTACTAGGTCTTTGGGTGTTCCTGGCATCAATCATACCGCTTTGTCATGATAGAAAAGATTAGACTCATCTATACAAACTTAAAGCCTTGACTATGGCTTCAGTGGACAAAAGATATTCTATTTTTACCTATGCACAAAATTTTCACAAATTACCTGTTCCCATAACCCACAAACTCTAAATAGTCCAGGTAGGTTGAGACACAAATAGAAACATTTCTATAAAATGCACAACTGTATTTATGTTAGTAATGTACTTGCAAATGACAGAAATTGGACCATTTGTTTTACTTATTGAAATAATGCTTTTTATATATGTAGATGCATTATGTATATGTATGAGATGTAGCAGCTCAGATTGGCACATCAGATGTATCAGCATGATACATCATTAAGCCTAAGTGTATTAGAGTTAAAAACATACCATTTTATAATGGTAGTCAGACTTCCTCCTCTTAAACCCATCCCCATCCAAATGAAATGTCGAGATATGCTATTGGAATCAATAGATGATAGTAATCATTCAAATTTCACAATGTAATCACCATTCCTTCAATAGTTGGAAAATGTCTTTGTTCTGCACAAAAAAAATCTCACCCACGCATGTTCAAATCATCAAATCAATTAATATATGTTTTATCGCTTATACAGATCTAGCAATGACTTTGCCAAGTACATGACAATAACAGCTAATCAATGTGAGGCTGAAATAAGCAGCGTTTTGGCAGTAAAGCAAACTTCAGTTTCATGACTGGGTGGAAAATGAACTGAAAATAATTATTTCTTAAGGCTCCTGCAAAACATATCCCACCCTCAGCACTGCGGATGGATGTTGGTGGTGCATTAGATTCCTACAAAGTGGGAAAATAAAATTATTAGCAAACAAAAGTGAAATGGGAAAGGATTTGTAAATGGGAAAATAAAATTATTAGCAAAACGAAAGTAAAAAATCATAATGAAACCAGAAATGTGCAAATCAATCATTTATAGGTTCCATACTGACCTGTACCAACTGCTCCCTCTGCTCAATGAGCTTTGGCCTGCTCCATGACCCCTCCCAGCCCGACCCACCATTGGTGGTCGGACCTTCAGCCTCTCTGCCTCCACCCTTTGGAATTCCATTCCACAGTCCCTTCACCTCCCTCTTTTGCCTCCTTCAAAGCCTGTCTCAAGACTCTCCTCTTCGATCGTGCCTTCGGTCACCCTGCTACTCCTACTCTCCCTGCCCTCCACCCCTCCTAATCCCAACACCCCGCTCGGGTCTAAATCTTTGGCTGTCCAACACTTTGGGGCATCTTCTCGACATGAAAGGTGCTACATAAGTGTAATTTGTTGTTGTTATTTATAAGTCTTAATTTAAATATCTATCTATATACATATACAGCATATCATTCCAATGGGGACATACCTTGAAAAGAGAAAAAAAGTAGAAAAATAGCACATAGATTGATGATGAAAAATGTTGTACTAATATATTAATCATTTACAGAAATAAACATGGATCTGTGAGATAAGGATTGAGACCAATTTTATTGGATAGAGAGATCATATCTACCTTTCACGTTCTTTCTTCATTGAATTGTATAATACACCGCTACTCCTCTTTTACGTGTCTTGAGTAACTAAACCCATTAATTTTACAATGCGCGGACCCTAGTCCTTGTATAACAAAATGCACATAAATATGTTTTGTTTGCGCCTGTGATTCAAATTCAGGTATTTCCTTATGCAATTGCATACAAACAGAAGTCATGGGATAAAATGTATGAGCGTGTCTCACTCATTCCTTGTGGTAGCTAACACAAGAAATGGATTAAGAAACTCCTGCAAATTATATCCCTCTATTTTATTTCATGAGATACTTCTCCACTCCCACCCCATCTCCCTGATGTTTGAGTATAAACAGTGTTAGATTATTTTAATATTTATGAAGCAATAAAGTAAATGTATTTGATATAATTAAAAGCTATCAGCATCAGTTACAGCACAAAGCATTACTGTTCTGAAAGATGTGTGCAACAACAGTGGCACCGTGCCATGCTTATGTATATTATACACATTAGAAGCAAATTTATAGTTGCTGCTGTTTCTCAATATATTGCAGTATAGAAAATACAATGTTTTCCCTGTAATGGTCATATGTGTTATTTTTCACTTGCTATTTTAAAGTTTGTGAGCTGTTGATTCTGGCACATTTCCATTTAAAAACATAATCAAAAAAGTACTGTTAAGAAGGGATGGTAGAGTATGGTGTACTGTCACGTTATCTAATCTTATGTGCCCTGTGTGCGATTTTGGAAGACCCGCCGGAATTTTCTTTTATAATATCAAATCATTTAAATAATGCTTGAAAACTCATCATGGAGATTTGGTTTTGGTCAGCCGGATGCCTGACATGTGGAAATAAATCATCATGTTTCAGAGTACCCAAACCAGACAGAGTTCCACACATGCGTAACACCTACACATGGGACATTCTCTGTGTCAGGAATTAACTTATTTAAATATTTCTTGTATACTAACGATGGAGATATATTAAATAAATTATATCCTCATATAAGTATGATCAATGTTTCTTAGACGCACTAAAGCCTCTTGACTGTCTGATTAAATATCAATATTTGGGAAGGTGGATTTATGACTCAAGTCACAGAATAGACTGACCCATTAGATTATTTTTGGACAACATTGATTGTGCACAATCTTCCAAAAACCACATGGACATCTTTGTCTCACAGGCCAGAGCCAGTCAATATGCCCAGACATGTAGGAAGATAAATATTATAAACGAGTCATCTGCAAAGCAAAGTTCTATTATATTTCCACACACTTTGCTCCTACCGTGTATACGCTTAATGTTTGCATTAAAAAAAAGTCGAGTTTTTTGATATAAATTGTACTTGGACTTTCAAGCAGACTGCAGCATAATGACTTTCTGCTCTGTTAAACTAAAGCAGAAATTCCTGACATCTGTAGCACGCAGAAACAGACAGGCTTTGGGGGTAAACAAGACTTGAGCAGCAACCTGTCTGCCTGCCACTGTTTCAACTCCAGCAGTTTGGAACATTTTCCTTGACGCAGGTATTAAATAAACCAAAGTAAAAAGCAAAGTCCCTGCACAGCAGGCGATGCGCTTTTAAATAAAATCATAATGTGTCTGATTTTGTCTCAGGGACGCATTAAGTAAGGGCTGTTCTCGGATGTGGGCAATACCCTTTAACCAAAGCAGATGTTGCTGAGATCGATCCCGCCATCCGGCTTTCAAAATCCCCTCTTTTGCAAATAAATGTTTGCTACTGAACTCCGAGCTCAAAAGGGGAGGGTTTGGGAACCCATCAGTACAGAGGGAGCCTCGAATTATCTCTCTTCAGCTGTCACTTCTTTTCTGCCACAGGGGGGTTCTGCTACTTGTCTTGTCTGCTACTTCTTTACCTTTAAAATTCGGTCTAATTCGTGCATCGTATCCCGATGTCCTTCCCATCAATTTATCCAGAAAATCCGAAGGGGACATGGGCTGCGATCCCGCTTTACTGGACGATCTCGAGTCATGTTCCTTGGAGAAAGTTAACCTGAAGACCACAAGACTGTGAGTTAGAGCCCCAGACATACCACCCCATGGAAACATTTATCGACAGAGAACTCTTCCCACGACTCCCATCCCTTCCCGTGAGGTTTCCCGGGGAGCGCGTTAGCGAAGGGAGCCTCAGTCCAGTAGGGAATGCCACTGGGGTTGGGAGAGCCCGACAGATCCAACGTGTGAAACAAACAGTGGGACATTTTCTGACGGACTGATTCGAAGCAAACCCAGAGGCAAAGGGTGACTGTGAGCCTGAGGTGCATGCAGGAGTGCAGCCAGTGAATGCATGTGTTAAAGGATTCTCCTAAAAAAAAATGTGGAAACACGTATATATCCCAAGGACTATTTCAACAGGATGGGGGTTACTCATCAGGCGGTGTCCACTCCACCACTGCCACACATTTCCCTTCCCAACCACACACGTTTTTTTTTCCCCACGACTGGACCATTGCAAAAATATCCGATGGTCTCTTGTGTGTGGCTTCAGGGACGATGTTTATCAAACAGATTTTAATCCAGACATGTTTCATTCATTCCACCCCCTCTCGCCCCCCACCCAAAAAAAGAAAAGAAAAGAAAAGCCACATCTGTAGATTCCCAGTGCTTCCCAGAAAAGGGATAGTTCACACAGAGAGAGACTAATTCAAATCTAATATGACCAGCCTTGGTTTATTACGGGAGACATTTTGTAGATTCGTTCATAAATCATTCACTATTTGCACATACTGAGTTTTATTAACACGTTGAACTCATCTCAAACACAAAACGATAAGTGAGTCGGCATGACAATATATTTATTCTTATCTGAAAACATAATATCCTTCACCTCCCCATCCCACACACACACACACACACACACACACACACACCACCAACACAACAACAACAACAACAACAAAGCTGAAATAATAAGAAATATTCCACCAACGTATCAGCAACAATGAACAGCTGGAATAATAAGAAATAATTCCACCAGCATGTCGACAGGCATTGCAATTGCATTGAGAACAAATACTTTCAACCCTCGGTATGGAAACTAAAAAGGTGCATGAGTTTCTTTCGAGTGCTCCAGGTTTGAGAAACATCAACCATTTGGAACTGGGCAATGCATTGCCAATCTTGGGCTGGATGTTTTACGAGCAGCTCTGCTATACGTTGGTGTTGATGTGTTACAAACAGTGCAACAACCACAAAAAAAAACCCCAGGCACACAGTATAACAATCCTCAAATGTGTGCTGCAACTGTGCACTGTTCAGTGTTCAGTCATGAACCTTGCAATGCTGGTTATTATTATTATATCTTATACACCACCACCCCCCCAAGAAAAAAAAGTCAAGCAATATACACCAGACAGACACCCCCCTTATTTTTTCTCTCCCCCTCCACTCCACCCCACCCACCCACGACCCAGCACTTAAAAACAGTCATAATAAATATTTTTTTTTTACCTGAAGTTGTTTGTTTCTAAGATGCACGCAAACAGGGTTGTCAGGATTCTCACAACGGGTCGATTCATTCCGCCAAACTCTACTCCGTGCCTGGTATGGCGTGCAATCTTCTAGGAATATTTCCCCCACCACCACCACCACTACCAACCAACCACCAACACCAACAACACCCCCCCCCCCCCAAAAAAAAAAAATTTTTTTTTTCTTTCTTTAAAATTTTTTTTTTTTTCTTTTTTTTTAAGCTGTGTGAAACTCAGATCCAGTGGGTCAGTGACGCTTCTTTCCACCCAACCACCACCACCACCCACCCACCCACCCACCCACCCACCTCCCCCCCTCCCCACCCACCACCTGCACCACACACACACAAAAAAAAAAACTAGCAGAAAGTAGTAGTGGATTCAGGAAGGCAGAGGAAGCAAAAACAAAGGGCATCAGTCCTCAGTATCATTGTTTAGTGGGAGGCTGGAGATCGACCTGCTGCAGGAGGAAAAAACAGCGTCAGAATGGCATATTTTCCCAAAGCACCTCTGTAAACACTACGTCAAGAAATGGGGGGAAAAAAAACTTCATGCTATCGTAACCAGGGATCGCCAGCTTTTACTCCTCCAGTGAAGACCCAGCATTAGAATTCCATTATTTTGGAAAAGAGGAACCTGCCAGTCTTGCTGCTGTTGTTTGTTGTGGTGGTGGTGGTTGGTTGGTGGGTGGGTGGTGGGTGGTGGGTGATGGTGGTGGTGGTTTTTTTTTTAAATGCAAAAAAAAAGACACACACACACACACACAGATACACACACAGACAGAGAAGCTGGATGTTGGTTTTATTCAACGGAGAGCAATAGAGGCAGCACAGGAATGAGAGCTTTAACCAGACTGGTACATTTCAGGACTTGGACAGCTCCATCACTGCGCAAACTCCACACAACCTTTTTTTTAAAGGGACGTGACCAGGTTGTCAAAGCTTCCAGCGACGGGGAATTTTAAGGATGGGAATCGCTGACGAACAGCGACATAACATAGATGTCTAATTGCTCATCGATTAAGTGCTTGAAAAGGATGTGATGTTTATGGATCGAAATTATGCGTTCAAGGAAGGAAGGAAGGAAGGCACGCTCTCGAATTGAGAATGATAATAATCCTTGCATTTGATGCAACGCCGCCCTATCGCTTGGTCACATCGTTGAGACGTCTCAAAGCGCTTCACAGAATATACCGTCAAGTGAATTGGTTGTATATTCTGTGGGCGAATAATTCCCGTTTTCTTGGGTGTGGGCAGAATAGTGGTATCCAAGCGCTCCGGGATGCTACCCCGCACGAAGGGCGCTATATAAATGCAAGTTGTTGTTGTTATTCGTACAAAGCTTGTCTTGACAGTTGGAAGGCAACCGAGTCAATGTGTACAACGACTACATCGGGAGTTGACTTCATGCAAATTACATGTTGCTTTTCCCAAATGCATTTCAATATTATCTATCCATTAATATAGACCTCGCTTTCACAACATTTGTTCATGGATTCACCCGTCAGATTTGTTGCCAAAATACTTGGGCAACTTAGGCATGGTGTGTGTATGTCCAGGGTGGTTGTTTCAAATGCAGATTTACCATTAGGGTCAGGATTAGTAGAAACGGCAGGCTGGACACGCCACCCTTTGGATGCAATGTCAAAGTGGTACTGAGAAGGAGCAAAAGGTAGTTGCTTTATAGACTTAGAATTGTTTATTCTTTTCAAACAGTTTATTAAATGTAAACATAATAATAATCCTTGCATTTGATATGGTGCTTATCTGTCGTCAAAATGTCTCAAAGCGCATCACTGAATTTTACCACAAAGTGTAGTGATTGTGTATGTTGTAGGCCAAAGTGGCAGTCAATTTCTGCACAGCAATGTCCCACAAACAGTCATGAAGTGAATCATCAATTGTATCGGGAGGACTATTGCCCATGAAGATACGTTCTTTGGGATTAATTCCTCACTACAAATGCCAGCGGAGTGATCATTCACATGGGCATGGGGATAAGGTAGTACAGTGGAATTTAATGACTTTCACTAAGATGCATTGCAGACTCGAGGAGCTGAGTGGACTCCTTCTGTGCTGGAATTTTTTAAAATTCTATGATTTCTGAAGAAGTTAATAAAATATTGGAAATGTGATGAATGCCACAAGTTGCAAGAACCTGTAATAAAAATCAAGGAAGACAAGGAAGCAAATTTTGTTTAATACAAGTACTCAAGGTCGAAATCAAACTAAAGAATCTCAATTGCATGGTAAAAGCACTTACACAGTCTGAAGAATGCAATTGACAACCTCCATCCTAGTGTGCAATCTGGTAATGCACAAATATGCACTGATATGGTCAGGTTGCATTGCATTATGCAGTAAGAGGCTTTAGATTAGTGTAGTAGAAAACAATCAGAAGATTTACCTTATTTAAAGGTAAAGATAGATCACTACTTTAATGATGATCACTCATGTCACATGTAACTGAAGTGAACTCCAATCCAAAGTACTGTACCAATTAGTATTCTTTGACAGACAATTCTTCCCATTAAAAATTTTAAAAATTTTAGAATAAACATCATGCATACCTACAGAAGGCAATATTAATTTGTTTATTGCAGTTTTCTTTCCTAAATAACAGGGTCTAATTTACTAATTTTATTAATGAGAATTCTTTATAAGGCATCCAAGTCATGATAATGGGAACTTCTTTCACTAACTAGTACATCATGAAAAATGATGGAAACTCCACTCAAACCCAATCTACTTCCAGGGCATAGTTCCTGTCAAGCCATTGAGAATTATTAAGGAATCATATTCATATATTCATAAGGCCCTTTGTGTTGCTGTATAGTACCAAATTATTGTTACATTTCAGAAACCATTGTTTCATTTTTATATTATGCACTTATGCAGTAAAGCTAAATTATACTTCACTGGTGATATACAACAAATTATTCACATATTCCAAAATCACTACCCAAAGATCCAAAGAGAATTTGGATAAGATAAATTCTCTATGAAATAATAATAATAATAATAATCCTTGCATTCGATATAGCACTTTATCACATCAAGAAGTCTGAAAGCGCTTCACAGGAATTGGTTTTGACTGTGTGTTTTGAAATGCTGTCTCAATTATTTTGCCCATTTTGTGGGTGGAATGGTTGAGACTTACATGTTAGTAGTTCAATACACACTGGGTTAGCCTGAGGAATGGAGGATGGTTAATTTAAATCCACAAATTTACTGAGGTGTAGACATTATCTAAAACATCATAGACTGGATATTCCAATATTTAACAGAAAGCTGTTTATAGGAAATGATCAATGTTCAGCTAAGAGCATGAATCAATTATAATGTGTTGAGGAAATGACTAAGTTCCTGGATAAAAGCTATTTCATAAGCTTTCAATAATACTTCCCATTTGAGGCTTTTAACGAACATGAAGGCTCACGTAACTGATGCAAATGAACTAGCAAGATAGAGGACTGTTTTGACAATAGGAATGAGATAGAGATGAGAAATGGGCAAGGCTTTTTATGGTGAACAGCAATGATTAGTGAGTTTCACAAAGCTGTGGGGCGGGGGGGGGGGGGGGGTAATTTGCCTACAAAATACAATCACTTCACTTTACAGTATATTAAGTGACATACTTTGAGACATCTTCCCAACTTGAAAGGTGCTGCATTGAATATAAGGATTATTGTTTTATTTATTATTATAGTATAGTATTATAGTAAAGATCAGAATATGAAACAAGACATGTATATTCCATTGTTATGTGTTCATTAGACCTGTGCTCATTTTAGGGGGTGATTATTCTCCATTCCATGTGGAGTCCTGTAGCTCAGTGGTTAGAGCACTCGCTTTGCAAGCGAGAGACCTGAGTTCAATTCCAGGCAGGGCGAAACCTTGGGCAAGTTTCCTTACTCCACACGCCTAATAATAATCCCTCCAAACACAATAATAAAAATTGGTCATTTTCAATCTACGACTGTTTGTGGGACATTGCTGTGCGCAATTGGCTGCCGCGTTCGCCCACAAATATACAGTCAATTCACTTTACAGTGTGTTCTGTGAAGCGCTTTGGGACGTCCTCCCGACGTGAAAAGTGCTATATCAAATGCAAGGATTATTATTATTATTATTATTATTATTCATTACATACTGCTAATGTGAAACTAAGCACTCAACTAATAAAGGCTACTTATGTGCCTGGTGCCTATAGAAATATATCCTTCCAGTAGGACAAATGAGTTCAAAACAAAATCAAGAGATGGGGAGTGAAAGGAAGAAAAACAGAGGTGGGAAATTGATGGGAAAAGGTACCTGTGTCTCAATCCATACAGCACGCCAGTGATTGTGAAGTTTTACTTCAATAAAAATACTATTTCAATGTTTTGCGCTTACATGAAGCTGAAAGAAAACATCCTCTGTCACTCAAAGTATAAGCAAGTGATTTTTGAAGCTACAATTGATTTATTACATCTATCAGAAGGGGGAATCAGAAAGAGATTTTTTAATTATGGATAACATGGGATTGGCCAATTGGTTTAGTAAAGGGTAGTTGATTTGTCATGTGGATCCATGCCATGATTCCACTCCCCCCTTCCCTATAGATTACCAGGGTTAGTCTGAATGTCAAATATTGGAAGTATAAAAACACACTCACTGAAGTCATAGATTGTCCACCTGCAGCTGGCCACTCACCTAACAACCATCATGAGAGCAAAGAATCATCTTCTGTAGGTTAATTGGTGACATAAGTACACGATGAAGATAGAGTAACAAGCAAAGATGTGGTGGGTGGGTGTCACAATGAATTAGTGCACTTCTTTTACCTCCTGTGTTCAAATCCACCCCGACTAGTAGGATAAATGTCTCATTTTCTCATTAATGATTGTAAAAGTCCTTTGGGAAATGAATTTGAGCAGTTTCAGTCTGTTTCCCGAAGCTATTCTTATTCCGATCTCAACAGAACCATCTTGCCTCTGGTTCTGAGTATATAACCCCCACCCCAGTTGCTCACTCTAACTTACTGAGTGCATCATTTTGCCACTTGATTGACTCTAAGCTCCACTTCAAATGCTACATCCAGTCATTGACCAAAACAGTTTTTTTACATGTAAGGAAT